CCATGTGTATGGTTGGCGACCATTCTAACCGCTATGCCACCGACGCACTTTCATCGATGTATACAGTGGATGAATTGTTTTAGAAATTCTTCCTTAAAGGATTAGACTTAATAGTCTGTAGATGTGTGTTGATTACAAATCAACTACTACTTTTAAATTAATGGTCAATATTTTTTTTGTAAAAATAATTTAGACCATAAAATAACTCATGCTATTGTCTCAAGGGTAGAACATTTAGAAAATATAATTTAACTGAATTGTGTAATGTGTGTTTCCGCAACACATTTTAATCTGATTGTACATCGAAACTGATCACAAGCCACTACAGTACCTGAGGACAGCGAGAGACCCTCATGAGAAATGTCGCGATGGATGCTGCGCCTGCAGGCGCATGACTTGTAGTTGATAATGAACCTTGGCGCCACTGGCCAGCCTAACTGCTTCTCGAATCACTCTGCTCAGCGTTCTAGACGTCCTTTCAGGTTGGTTATCAGCGTACCAGACGTAGCTGCTGATTCCACTTCACGCGCACATTCCAAACCCCAGGTTTCGCTATTCTTAGGTAAACACCGTTTGATCTTGAGCCTTAGCGCCTAGTGCATGTTATCTGTTGGAATGAACCGGTGCGCATTCACGAGTTACAAGTAACTTGTGGAAACCCAGTGGCTTTTAGCGGAGTGTCCTTTTAAGCAGAAGGCGGCTTTACTCTCCATTTTCATATCGCCTAGCAGGTGCACCCAGTGTCGCTGGCTAGTCTTGAGTTCAACTCAATCTGGTACTTCGCAGAGGTAGCAGGCGTCACCAATTTACTTACATCAACCTGCAGATGATGCCGATTATGGAGGCTGCAAAATTGCAAGATCAATCTACAACACTTTATGGCGTATTCGGAGTCTAGAAATGTGTTCCAGAAGGTGCTACAGTCATTTATGCATCTGACGTGCTACCATGTAAATTTTGCTGACTATCTAGACAACACTCCTCTGATCCTAAACACCCAACATGTGCATTCAAGTCCTTAGATAACACTACGACATTTCAGTGGCATGCCTGCTTCAGAAACTGTCTAAGTATATAGTAAGACTCATCATTAATTGCATCCAAGGTGCAATCTGTCGGTGAGTAGGCAGAGATGAAAAATAGTTAACGCTTCTCTGACTTATCGCTTTTAGCTCTGGAATAACGTCGTAGCCATAAAGAACATAAAAGACTGTTAGTGGAGTTCTAGTCCAGTTATGCAGCTGGGAGTCTAATGCTTAGTGTGACGCCAACACCATTTACGCCGAATACTGATGCCACACTGGTGGTACACAACACTTAAAATTGCAAGTAAAGATATTCGAAGCACTTCATTGGAGTCTCGAATGCTGATTTCTGAAATGCAACAGATATCGACAGCGAGGTTTCCTAATGTTCTGACCAGACCTGCCGGTTTTCTGACTTGCATTGGTGTGCAAATATTGTGAGTGGTAAGCTTGGACACCATACGCAGTCTCAGGATATCCGTGTAGGATATTGCACTGCAGGTCAGCATTCTGAAGGCTACTAAATAACAACTCAAAACGACAAAGATAGACTGGTGTTCCAGACAAAGGAGAAAGACTGACGAAATTGAAGACACTAGAAATAGCAAGGCTGGTAAAAATAAAACGAAAAATTCTATGTATAAAAATAAATTCAAAAAGGACCGGATTGCTAAATATATGACTGAAGATGTAGTCTGTAACAGTGGTCCCAAGGTTATGGCCACTCATGAAATTGTTGTTCAGTATTGTGTGTGAGGGCTGGGATACTACTCGGACGCCCAGGCAGAAACAGGTGGTTGTGTTCAAGTACCACTCCTCCCCCCGAGCCTTTGACTTAAATTTCGATCCACAATTCAGTAGGACAGCGTCAGAAACTGCGTCTCCATGGATGTTAGTGACCGAAACAGGCTCATCCACCGCCAAATCCCTTAACATTCTGGAGCTTGTATATGGTTTGCGATAAGGGTTCTCCAGCTCCCCTAGGTCGACCTGGATGTCGACCATTCCGGTTGTAGGTGCCAGACGTTCTCATTCGCCCGTTCACCTCTGTGAGGAACACACATACTACATATACATACGCAAGTATGGTGCAGAAGATTTGTAGCTCAGGTGGGTGGTATTGGTGTAGTTGTGTTCTCTAAGATGAATGGTTAAGTTGCGAAGCTTTCATTTTCTTTCCAGATAGCATCTTCAACAGACATTTTCCCGGTATCTCCTCCTACAATAAGGTCAGCTTTATGAGGAGTGGACAGGTGGTCTAAACTGCCAGTTTAAAGCACCTGTCCATACGGGTGTGGATTCGAGTCCCGCTCTCATCACGACGCTCTGTGTCTATCGGTGGTAGAATGCTCGCCAGCTGCACACATAGTCTAGATTTGATTCTCGGATGACCCACACTCAAATCTCGTTTAGCCGATAGTAAGGCCGATAGAGAGGGAAAACTAGCCGTGAAACCAGCAACCCCACTTCATGAAAGACGCGACTGCTACTAAAACTTCAAAGCTGAAGCTTGAAGCCTTATGTTCCACTTGGAGAGCAAAACAATGGAAAAATCCGTAATCCTATTGGAGATCGTATTTAGGACTTCGAGGTTTAATGATAAGAAATTTACTATACGAAAGTGAATTTACTCATGATGAAAAAAAGCTAGTGGACTAACACCTGAGACACTCAGGTATACACGTAAAGGTAAACAGTGTTAAGTATGACCTTCGGAAGTAGTTTATATTTCGCAAATCAGTAGTCAGATAGAAGCCATTCCAACTGCAAAATTTCACTGACAAGATCACAGTGAATTTAGCACTTGCAGGTTAAACAGTGCGAATGTTGACTTGGAATAATTCAATTCAACTGTTCGAATTGTTCATATCAATTCAGTGTGACCGACGACAACTACCTAGATAATAATGCCTTAAGATGATCAAATAGGAAAAAAACTGCACATTCAACAAGAAATGCACAAAAGACACATATTTCTTACTAGTGATCATTTTCTTAGTAAACTAAAAACAACTGACGTGTTATCTCAATTTTAACAAGACAACCTTTTATCCCAACTATTCCAATTCACCTGGGTATTAGTTGTTATGACCAGTATGTGGGCATTAACAAGTCACTTGTGCCGAATAATTAAGGCGAAACATCAGGTCATCAATAATTAGATGAATAGATTAGAATTAGATGAATTAGAATGAATAACAAACTGAAAAAGTATTTCAAAAATGTCCATGTTTTAATATTACCCTAAATAACTTGAAACGAGAAATTTTCAAGTCTGTCAACCAAAGTGACATGCAGAAAGGCATGCAGAATGTCGTAAAGATATGCATGATTTGACGAAAATTGGATATTTTCTTGTTTTACACAGACAAACACATAAACACACTATAAGGTCTACTTTTAATACGTTAAATTCAATATACAGGAAGTAAGATATGTTGACTTTTATGAACTTAATTAGATAAACAGGATTGAAAAAGGTGGAAAATTACACATATCTCAATCGCTATTCTCTTCAATTTGTGACATGACCGTTAATACACTTGGTAGCTGAGCTAATGAATTTCCTACCTAGTCGATTTACGAGCGTACTGATCTAATCAATATTAGCAATAACAACACGATACCACCGAAACTGTGATACAGGAAGACAAGAAGAGAAGACAGACAGTTGACATAGGGAGCCTTTATGGTATCGTATCAACGGCAAAAATGGTTGACAGCGCTTGCGCATAAATATATATATATATGTATGCTTTAAATGACACTGAGAGACAGTAATTACATTGATAAATTAAAAGAGTAAATAACCAACAGCATTCCAAGGCCATAAATGAGGTGAGGGAAATACAACCAGCAATATACAGATAAATGTAGTATTTCAGGAAAATTAGGACTATATTACAATTTCTGCTCATCTTTTTACAAAAAACGACGGTTTAATATGGTATGCAAATGTACGCATACTTACAGAAAAATGAATTAAAGCTGGGAGGGAAAATAATACGTTTCTGCCAAGCATATATGTATATATTTCTTTTTTCCATTCACAATGGTATATCCATAAAATTTATATTCAATTTTAACAGTAAAATGTCAACGTCATGAGAGAATGATATTTTTGTTTCAATAAGATTAAAATGGTAATTGGCCAATATGAAATACTATTACTACTAACCTAGAGTGGTTAATTTTCCATAGAACTATTATGAGCAATAACTTCACTTCTTACTGGAGTGTACACGTCTGTATTGATGAAGGCAGTTGGGCAAACCACTCAATAAGGTAAAATAAGAGTAAAATATCCAAACATACGACGAACTGGTAAAATCAGGCTAATTTGTTTGATATAAGTATTTTTTAGAGATATGGCTATTTAAAGTCACTTGGTGGATGGTGACTAGCAATGGAATCTAGGATGTGCATTTCGTCCTATTCGGAACTCATCATCTGGGTGTAACCAGTTGACTTCAAGTTACATGACCAGACATCGTCGAAGCGTCTGCACAAGGAGCCGACATGTCAACCTGAGATCGAGCACTTCGGTCCAGTCAATCGATGAGAAGATCTAAACTGAATTAAATAATATGGCTATTTAGTGTGGAACAGTTAATTTTCAGCTGATAGATTATTGTTTAGAACTCCAACTCATATCATAAGGCTTCTTGCCCAGTATATTGATGTGTATGTGACTGACGAGGTGCAAATGTAAAGAGGTTGAAAGAGTTGGGAGAACACTGATACCTTTGAAATAACCGAAGTGAAGAACAGAATAAGAAAGGTGACCGTTTCCTCTATTAAAAGCAATAATGTCCAATCATAAATGTTTCTTGTAGACACACGTCAAATCATCAGGAGATATTACACTATTACACAACTTTGAGTACCTAGTAAAACATATCTAACATCCTGACGTTTTACTTAAGCTTATATCAACAACAACAGATAACACTAACAGTTGCTTAGCTGGCTTACAGAGAATCCTTTTTAAGCCGTCTGAACTGTTCTCGAACTCCAAGGAGACAGCCGTCTTTTTCATCTTTTTCATTTGAGTGTGGTATCCAGATCTCGTAATCGTCGTCAGTGCCTAAGGTGAAATTTTAAAAGTAAAAAAGAGAAATTAGACAAATAGCAAACAATGTTTTACATTTTGAAGTAGTTTTCAAATTAAAGCGGTACCAACTAGAAAAAAATGACACAAGAAAAGTTTCAAATAGTGGTTTCGTTCTGGTTTGAAACTATTCTGCATTGTGCACTTTCACCTTGGCAAGTATTCAGTCAAGAACTTTCAGGTCTTACTGAGCGGACATTATAATTCAAACACTGGTGCAGGAAGCAATGTTTCACAATCCTCCGAAATTTCTACCGACTGGCGGTGTGGCACGGAAATTGTATATTTATATGTGCAGGATGGCGTAACATCACTAGCTCTTGTGGTATTTGCGAGGAAAGCCTAGAAGTCTACTGGCTGCTCAGCAACTATTGGGAGATCTTTATCATATATGGGTATTGGTTTGATAACGATGGAAAACTAGGGAGTAATGGTTAGCTGTTTTGTCCTGGTTTGTGACTCTCTCCAGATTTCCAGTGTCGGCTCATGATCATACCGGCAACTAATCAAATCCAACACCTGATAATATATGGGTATATTTATATTTGTAAAGCCAATTTCAGAAATTCATCCAAATTACAAAATCAACATTCCTTACATATTCCGTAACTTTTGAATATCGTTTCCTCATATTTACAGACTTAAAATAACCTGCCATTCTGGGAGTCTCACCTAGTTCACTTCAAGTATAAGAAGGTAATATCACATTGAAGACAATAAGTTACACTAGTAATTCGTTTTATCTGTTAGGAAAAGCACACCAAAGGACACCACGTTGAGATTTCAATATTTATAAGGAAAGGACTGCGTGGCTGCACAACTACCTTGAAGTTGTAGACAGTTTAGTGAAACATACTACATTCAGTGAAGTGGTCACCGGTTCAAAATCTACTCTATTCACACAACTTCAGACAACCGAGTGGTAATAGGAGCTCTTACACGATGTAGGATGATCACTGTCAACTGCGTAAACTTGCATACAACAAGGCCTAATTCACTCATGTTGTTACAACAACTAATTAGTCAGTAGAATAAAAAGGATGTTAGCGAATTGAATTCTTTACATTTTAACGATTCATTACTCCGCGAAATATAACCCCTTAATCACGCATACTGTAATCAGATGGCAAGAAATCATGCGAAATCCGTGAATAAATAATATGGTAACAAACTAAAGAAATACAGTTGGCATCAAAGAGATTAGAATTGATGATCCCCTGAAATTACCGAATAATTTTCATCCCTTTCTTCTTTTCTTGATGGTCTTCCTTAATATATCAAAAAATGAAAAGTATTTATGTAAGAAGTGATTTACAAAAATCTATTTACGGTTTGGCGAGTGCTACTGACAAGATTTATCAGTAGTATATCAAGAGACACTAATAAGCACAAAAATATCAAATAGTGGAGAGATAAATTTGACGTCAAAGATCCAACGGCGAAAGCGATTGTGCTGAAGATACCGTTGAGAGGTAGAACAAAGGCAGCGTACGACAGTGTGGAGCGGTCAGGCAATGAAGAGATCTCGAAGGTATTGGTTGAACGGATGGTGGCGGAGTTCGACAGCCTAACGGACAGGCAGCTGGTAATGCAGCATTTCCGCGTCGCAAAGCTGGGGCTGGAAGGAGAACCGTTAGTGTTGGCAGTGAAGCTGACGAATCTACTACATGGTGCACTCCCCACATTGGATGAAGAGTCAGTGTCCCAGTTATTGACTTTCCAGTTCATCGAATGTTTCGGACCACATTTCTGAGAAACTACGATTGGTTAAAACTGCACAACCTATGGACATGGGTGAGCTAGCAAAGGTAACCAGATAGCTGTGGAGCATAATGGTTGCAGCAATAGAGCCATCAAAGTCGAACGAATTAGGACAGTAAAAATGGAAGATTTTCAGTGTGAGGCAGCGGCTCTACCAATGAGTACCGGAAAAGGCCAATGCTTTGAGTGTGGCAAATCAGGACACTGGAGGAAATACCGCCCGGAAAGAAAAGCTTCAAATAATATAATGTGTCTTCTTTTCCTGCGATAAGACTGGTAGTAATAGGGGCAGTCAAGAGGTGGGCTATTTATTCTAGGTTACGAGTGAATGATCAAGATATTGCATGTTTAATAGATGCAGGAGAGGCAGTCTCATTTGTAGATGCGAATCTATGTCAGAATGTCAGAACGTGTTCTTTAGCTGTTCAGATTATAGAAGGTCGTGTGTTAAAAGTCACAGGCTTGTCCAAATGCAACGTTCACGTTGGAGGTTGCAAAGTAACGTTCCCATTCACTGTTGTGTCTCAGTTACGGCGAACAATCCTGGAGGCTGAGATTCTGTGAGAAGTAAGCGCCGCAACTAAAGAAAATGAAAGGATCGTAACTTCAAGATACGGATCTATCAGAATGCATGGGAAAAGTGAGATAACAAGGATAGAAAAGTTGGAAATGCAGAATATAACCGTTTCAGTTAGAATATATGATCATCGTTTCACGAGGCATTCAGACCTGTACGGTTGTTGTGACAAGTTGAAGCAAGAAATCTCTGTGACGGATCGGAGAGTGACGACATTCAAAGTGCGGAGAGTACAATTCCATTTGGAAGGAGAAGTTGAATGACAGGTAATTGAGATAATAAAACATGATATTATTAAAGAAGCTGACTGCCTATATAACTCTCCAGTTCTTCCAGGAAAAAAAGCAAATGGGAAGTATTGATTTTGCCTTGGTTTCCGAGAATTCAAAAGCTTGACAGAACTGAGACCGTAAGTCATGCTCACTGTAGCAGAAATCCTTGATCGCATACAAAGTGCCAACCTATTTACAGTTCTTCACCTTCAGTTCCGATACTGCCAGATACCGATAAAACAGAGCGACAGATTTAAGACAGAGTTCACTGTGGGGCAGAAAACAATATCATGTATGCCGTTTGGACTAACAGGTGCGCTGTTTACATTCAGACGACTGATGATGTTGTTTCTTAAAAGCTTGAAGAACGTGAAATTGTAAGCTGACAATCTTTTCATCTACAGTCACACTGAAAGTGACTATGTGGAATATGAAGAAGCCATTTCAAGGTGCATTGAAGGGTTAGAATTGCGCATTAACAAAATAAAATCTCAAACAGACAAACGCGGTGTTACGCTGTTGCAAAATAAAATAGGCAACGGTGAGATAAACCACTGGTGGGGGAAATCTTGACGACGAAGACCATGACGGCCTCAAATTCAAAGAGAAAGCTAAGGCAGTCCGTGGGGATAGCAGCACTTTATAGTCGATTCGTGAAAAACTGCAACGAGATAGGTGAGTCGAAGACTGTTCAGTCGCAAGATCCTCAGAAGATATTGGACTGCATTAAATGCCTTTCAGACCACCAGCAAATGACGTTTAAACCACCGGTACCTGGAAAACAGTTCACAGTGTGCACAGATGCCGGTGACCACGGCATGGCCGCATTGCTTACACAGGGTGAAGGATTTGTCAAATATGCCAGTCGTGTTTCAACGCAAACAGGGCAGAAGCATTCAGCGATGGAGAAAGAATGTTCAGTGGTATTATGGGCAGTAGACAAATGAAGACCATACTTTCTCAGCCAACGGTTCCACATTTAAACGTATCATAAGCCACTGCAGTTCCTGAGGACAGCGAGAGACCCTCATGAGGAACTGACGTGATGGATGCTGCGCCTGCAGGCGTAGGACTTCATCATCTCAAACGTCTCTGGTAAAATACAATGTTTAGGCAGATTCTTTATCTAGACCACAAGACGAAGCTGGATTACCGGAGATTGTTTAAGGAGTGTATGCATTGGAACAAGACCCAATAAGACTTGCCCGCAGTCAGAAATCAGACTCTACCATAAATACAGTAATACAGGTGATCGCTAACGAAACAGAAGTAAATCAACCTACGCCGAGTAAGGAGCTGACCACGCTACTCAGACAGAAATATTGACTAAGAGTGAAGGTCTACGGAACTCTGACTTGGAGAGAGAACGATGGAAACTGATTGGCGGTAATACCTCAGTCTCCAAGCTAGGAGATGATACAAGAATACCACCAGTTAGCGCATACACGAGTAGCCACAACAACCGACATCTTGAAACAAAGCATCTACTGGCTAGGTAAGGAGGAGATGTGGCAAAATATATACTTGGATGTCGCAGAGTCAGTTTATGAAAGGAGATCGGTGCATACGACGGCCTCTGCAGTCGATTCCGGTTACGGCAGTATGTGACTGTCAGTGACGCATTAGTTCGACAAACCGTTGCAGACCATGGTGTACCAAAGACGATATTGATTGATCAGGACACTTGTTTTGGAAGCGAAGAATTCACTTCCCGTTTGCCACAGCTGGGTATCAAGAAGATTAGAACAACACCATATCATCCATAAACGTATGGTCTGATAGAGAGAGGCAACAGTACATTGAAGGACTGGCTGACCTCGAAGAGGGGTAACTGGGAGACACAGCTTCCACAGACTTTACTAGTACATCGTGCTTCCACCCAGGAAACAACAAAGAGGTCACCGTTTCAGTTGATATATGAGAGGAAACCATGATTACCAATGCACAGCATGACCATGCCTCTTCACCAAGAGTGGAGCATGACGAGATTGCGAACAGAACGGAAAGAAGCTGTCAGGAATGCAAGGCATAAACAGAAGATGGACACTGCGAAATCTAACAGAAAGACAAAATGGGATGTACAACCTTTGTAGTCATAGATCAGGTCAAGTGTAGAGTAAGGAAGTAAACGTTTAGATGCAGATCAGGTTCACGGGAACTCATTCCAAAATGGGTAGGATTATAAACTATCATCGAGAGACGTAGTCCCATTTATGCCATCAAATGAGGAGACAAACAGAAAAGTGTTAACACCAGCTAACTGCAGGAATGGATACAGTGGGGCAAACCAGCAGATAACAAGACGCAACAAGAGTGGGCGGCACCAGGAAGGTCGGGGTGGCTCCGTTCGAAAATATTTGACAGGA